ACAGCAGCAACAAACTATAAAAGAGCCCAATCAATGGTGCCCTGGAATATCCACTTTGATGTGCATAATGAAATCCTGCTTCTCCATCAGTGGTGTGGAGGTGCCGTGAAAACCAACCAAGCTGTAACTTGCACAGACCAGAGCTGTGGGTGAATTATGAAAGTAATTCCCTGGCAAGTGTAATCATTTCTCTTCCCATACACCGCATTCGTCACGGGGTCTGGGGAAACTTCAGCGGAATGTAACAGACACGCTCTTGGCCTCAGCCACCAGAATGGTAGAACACTTTCACTAAAAAACGGAGATTTTTGTTTACACCCATTAATAACATCTTCTACATTAATGAATTGCATTCATGCTGTCGTCCATTAAGAAGCTACTTTGAGGTCTCTCTTTGCACAGAGCACTAGTTTCTCCTGATGACTCTATTGTTATACAGCCCATAAATAAAACAAGTATTTTCCCTTCATATTTGAGGTCTGCAATTAAATCTACTAAATGGACTGCAGATGCATGGTTTACAGTAAGTGATTCATCTTGGAAGATCATGGAAATGTCGAAATCACCACAATGAAGTAGCATAGTTGTCAAATTAGGACAATTTCAGAGAGTAACGAACACCAGAAATTTCATCTATGTGAGCCAACCTTTTTCCTGACTATGGCCAGCAGTGAAGAACTAAAACCCTGAAGTAGGAAACCCTGTATACCACAGAAATTATTATCTTATGCTAATTTTTTTAATAAGAAATTGTATTTCCTGAAAGAATAGTACGTAATGAGGTGATATGGTAGTTAACAGATGCTTGCTGCTAAGTTCAGCATTGGATGTGCTAAACTTCAAAGAGAGAAGGAAAGGAAAAGGTCTGTTGTATTACTGAATAAAGAATATTTGATAGAAACAGAGAAAAACTGTCCAGTGGTAATATACTCTTCTCTGGAACTGTATATGCTCTGAATTACAGTTCTGATTGCTATTGCATAGCCAGCCTGCCTTCTTCACAGGTCATCCTGCAGCGGTAATACCATCCAGTTGAGGAAAAAAAAAATTCTGTTTCAAAGACAGCGGGGTTCATCAGACATAGTGCTTAGGGAGAATACCTTTGTTCTCATTCACCAGAGCAGATGTAGTCTCATGCTCCAACAATATCCCCCACTTACCTAGAAATGGCATATGTGGGGTTCAGATGAGCATTGCTTGTTGAAGACTTTCAGAGTCACACGAATCACAAGGCAAGCCTACAGTGCACTGCACAGTCTTTTCAAAAGCAAAGTTGCAGGCTCAGTGCCTGCCCCATGCTAGGCTGAGATTTCTCGTCTCTACCAGACCAACTTCATCATGAACTATTACAACCTTATACTACAAAACAGATCCAGGAACCATGTGCCCTACACGCTTTATGCAGCCTTGGAAATCTGGGTCTGGAGCCAAGCAATGAAAGTAAGAGAAGGAGGAAGAGAGGTATTAGCTTCTTCACAGAAGATAGAGAAGTCTCAGGTGGCAGAATGAAAATGGTCCCTGAGAGCGTAAAATAATTATTAATTAGTTACATCACCATCATCACTTGTTATTCACTGTATTGATTTTAATTGTCTCCTTCTAAACCATCAGTCAAATATTACTCACTGACACCAACGAAATGTTGGCTTACAAGCCCAACAAAGCATGTCTTGTCTCCTTCCTCAAAAGAATAAGAAAACAACCTAGACTTCCCAGTAGTATCAGGTGTGCTGAGAATGCCCATTTGTCTGCAGGCAGTTTTTACGGACTTACTGAAGAATATGATTCACTTTACTGGCCAGGATTATCCTCCCAATGGTAGGAATACATATCTATTCACAGGATCCACATAAAGGAGCTGCATTTAATTTGACATTTGCATAGAATAAAGCAGGGTCATGCACCCGTTCGTAGTGAAATGGTGCTTTGATTCTGGAGCAACTAATTTGCTTTCAAAAGCACAAAGAATTCCTGGTAGTTTCAAAGCATGGACAGCACAAGAGAGATACCAGGAAGAGCTTTGATCATTTCACTCTTCGATAAAACTTGCAAAATCTTAGAAAACCTCACCACTTGCTGAATTTCACCTTATTCAAGCAATCCAAAAAAGAAACAGCTCAGAATTTTATTCACTGTGCTGAGTTTGAAGGGATTTCCTGTGGCATAAAGTCCCATGTCCTTGGAATCACTGTGGCAGAGTCCTGTCAGCATTTCTGCTGCAAAATGTGACTAGGTTCTCAAAGGAGAGGCTTAAGTCACTTCGTTAAGACACATAAGGACACAGACTTATGCTCACCCAAATGTAGGGTCAGTTCTTTGACAGACCTGAAGTGTACAAATCAGCTCCTAGCTCAAAGGGGGAAATGAGAAGGGACAGTCAAACAAACTGAATTGAGCAAGATGAAGAAGGTCATACAAAGGTTTTGTGAACACTGTCTCTCCCCTTGTCCTTTCCTTCTTTTCCATAACCAGTATGTCTTCCTCCAGACTGACATGTGAGCTTAGTTGTGCTCTCGAACACACTGGTTTAGATGAACCATCATTCACCTGGTGTTTCCACACCAAAGAAAAACAAAATGTGAATCAGGCCTGTGATGCTTTCGGTCCACTCAGAACCTCTAAAGATTGTCCTGCTCATCATCACCAGTTCACGAGACTGAAGCTCAAGGTCTGCTGTGCACAGCCCCTACCCCAGCGCAAGTGAATTGCTCTTT